GTCTGGAACTCCTGACCTCAGATGATCTGCCTGCCTCAACCTCCCAAAGTGCTGGGATTACAGGCTACATATATTTAATTATTGACTCTCCAACTTTTTATAAGTCCCCTGATGGACAGATGTTACATGAGCCATTCATCAGTCAAGGTTTACAAGAAAATGGAGAACACCAGTTATTTCAAAAGGAATTTAATACCAAGACTTGTTTACCCACTGTATGGGAACAGCTGAGAGGCCAAACAGGGAACAGTGAAACAATGCAGAGATCAGGCTCCCCTGTCGATTGGCTTCTGAAGAATTTGACCAGCAGAGAGCAATGATGTATGATTGAGAGGTAGCAGAGGGAAGAGTTCGAGACCTCTTTACTAAAAATGGTCTCGAAACCCCTGTCTTTACTAAAAATACCAAAATTAGCCAGGCATATTGGCAGGTGCCTGTAGTCCCAGCTACTTGGGAGGCTGAGGCAGGAGAATCACTTGAACCCGGGAGGTGGAGGTTGCAGTGAGCCAGGGTTGCACCACTGCACTCCATCCTGGGCGACAGAGCAAGACTTCATCTCAAAAAAAAAAAAAGAACTGGGGAGTTTCTTTCTTTCTTTCTCTTTCTTTCTTTCTTTCTTTCTTTCTTTCTTTCTTTCTTTAAGGGAGACTTAAATTAGGCTAATGTAGCAGTAACAGCCATGATTCTGATGCTTAGGCATTTTTGTTTTTACAGTTCTTAAATGCTTTCTGACCTGTGTTATCTCATTAGCTCTCTCAAATAAAGGAAGTGAATCAAAATTGGAGATAGATTGGGAAAAACTTGAATGCCTGACCAAGAGGAGTTTGGACTTGATCATAAAAGCAATGATGCTTTATCAGATGTGTCACATCACAGAGCACATATTTACAGTCCAGAGTCCCTCCCTAGATGATTGGCCTCACCCACAATCACCGGGTGGAGCCACCGAAAGAAAGGCACAGAGCAACACCTGTTCATACGAGCATCGTTCCTCGGAAGAGCAGATCCTAGTTCTCTGAAGATAAAGGGAAGACAGCCATGAGTTTACCCCTCTTTGAGGTTTATCTTTCAGCCTGTCAGAACCTCAGAATTACAGAGATTTAGTAGGCTTAGCCAGCTATCCTCCCATCCTGTCTCTCATATGCTTAAGTTCCATATATTATTGGTGTGGTGTATTCCCTCTCCAAAATGATGCATTGATACATTTATGTGGACCTCTCAGCCAGGAGTATGTATGTAGCTGTTGTCACTCCAAGGCATTTTCTCTGTTCCCTGTATCTATTTCTCTTCAGCTGCTTGAGCTCAGCTGGTTATGTTTTACACACTATATCCAGCTCCATTTCCAAAAAACAAAACTAGACTTTGTCCTGGTCCCACTTTAATCTCTTTCTCCCAATCCTGTCCCCAACCTGCTAAGCTGTCTGTCCTGCTTACTGCAGGAGCACAATGAGAACCACATGGAGTGGCCGATGGGATAGGGCTTTGAAAAGTACAAAGCTGCCCTCTGGGCTGGGCATGGCGGCTAATGCCAGTAATCCAGGCACTTTGGAAGGCTCAAGTGGGTGGATCACCTGAGATCAGGAGTTTGAGACCAGCCTGACCAACATGGAGAAATCTCATTTCTATTAAAAATACAAAATTAGCTGTGCATGGTGTTGCATGCCTGTAATCCCAGCTTCTTGGAAGGCTGAGGCAGGAGAATCACTTGAACCCGGGAAGTGGAGGTTGTGGTGAGCCAAGATTGTGCATCCTGGGCAACAAGAGTGAAACCGTCTCTCTCTTTCTCTCTCTCTCTCTCTCTCTCTCTCTCTCTCACACACACACACACACACACACACACACACACACAAAGAAGCTGCCCTCTGCAGAAAATACCCTAAGGCAGAGGTCTCCAACCCCTGGGCTGCAGACCAGTATGGGTCCCTGGCCTGTTAGGAGCCAGGCAGTGCAGCAGGAGGTGAGTGGCGGGCAAGCAAGCACTACTGCCCAAGCTATGCCTCTCAGATCAGTGGCGGAATTAGATTCTCATAGGAGTGCAAACCCTATTGTGAACTCTGCATGGGAGGGATCTAGGTTGCAAGCCCCTGTGAGAATCTAATGCCCCCCACCCCTGTCCATGGAAAAACTATCTTCCATGAAACTGGTCCCTGGTGCCAAAAAGGTTGGGGACCACTGCCCTAAAGGGTTGGTAAATGAACCAACTGAAGCAAAGGAAATAATGACATTATTTATTGCTGAGGCTCATGTCATTTTTCTGCTGAAAACCCTCCAGTGACTCTTCTTTGCCCGAAGTCCTAAGGGAGGCCAGTTAATGACCTTTGTCCATAGGGAGGTGATAACAGCCTGCCTGATAGGGAGCAGAGCCCATGTCCTCTCAGTAGCATTATGGGTGTTGCTGTAGGACCTAACCCAAAGAGAGACAGGTATCATTTTATAAGACTATGAATAATTTTTTTTTTTTTTGAGACGGAGTTTCACTCTTGTTACGCAGGCTGGAGTGCAATGGCGCGATCTCGGCTCACTGCAACCTCTGCCTCCTGGGTTCAGACAATTCTCCTGCCTCAGCCTCCTGAGTAGCTGGGATTACAGGCATGAGCCACCATGCTCAGCTAATTTTTTGTATTTTTAGTAGAGACGGGGTTTCACCATGTTGACCAGGTTGGTCTCGATTTCTTGACCTCGTGATCCACCCGCCTCGGCCTCCTAAAGTGCTGGGATTACAGGCTTGAGCCACCGCACCCGGCCTGAATAATATTTTTTAAAAAGATGGCCAAAGTGAGCCCTTGGTCTTATATCAGGTGACACCATAGATCGAAGCACAAAAAAGAGACAGGAAGGATTTCAGCAGGTTGGGGGAGATAGGCCTGTAGTATGGCCAGGTGGAGATACAGATAAATTGCAGATTATTCTGTTGAAAACTCTGTACCTGACATGCAGCAAGCCTTAGTCCTGATGGAAGGGGAATGTAGCTGGCTCCCTAGTGCTCAAGCATTTTGGCTTTGCAGGCAAAACCTGCATTCAAATCTAACTATAACAGCCTTGCAAACAAGCTACTTAACTCCATAGGTAAAGGCTCTGTCAAAGGCCAGGCACGGTGGATCATGCCTGTAATCCCAGCATTTTGGAAGGCTGAGGCAGGTGGATCACCTGAGGTCAGGAGTTCAAGACCAGCCTGGTCAACATGGTGAAACCCTACCTCTACTAAAAATACAAAAATTAGCCAGGCGTGGTGGTACATGCCTGTAATCCTAGCTACTCAGGAGGCTGAGCAGGAGAATCATTCGAACGCAGGAGGCAGAGGTTGCAGTGAGCTGAGATCTCACCACTGCATTCCAGCCTGGGGCACAGAGTGAGACTTCATCTCAGGAGAAAAAAGTATATATACAAAAATTAGCTGGGCATGGTGGTGCATGCCTATAATCCCAGCTACTCAGGAAGCTGAGGCGGGAGAATTGCTCGAACCTGGGAGACGGAGGTTACAGTGAGCCAATATCACCCTACTGCACTCTAACCTAGGTGAAAGAGCAGTAATCCCAGCACTTTAGGAGGCCGAGGTGGGTGGATCACCTGAGGTCAGGAGTTCAAGACCAGCATGGCTAACATGGCAAAACCCTGTCTCTACTAAAAATACAAAAAATTAGGTGGGCATGGTGGCAGGTGCCTGTAATCCCAGCTACTTAGGAGGCTGAGACAGAAGAATCACTTGAACCCAAAAGGCGGAGGTTGTAGTGAGCCAAGATTGCACCACTGCACTCCAGCCTGGGTGACAGAGTGAGACTCCATCTCAAAAAAAAACAAAAAAATAAAAAAACACACCAAGCTTTCCAATGTAAAAAAAAAAAAAAAAAAATGGCTGGGGGCAGTGGCTAACACCTGTAATCCCAGCACTTTGGGAGGTCGAGGTCTGTGGATCACGAGGTCAGGAGTTCAAGATTAGCTTGGCCCACATGGTGAAACCCCATCTCTATTAAAGATACAAAAAATTATCTGGGCATGGTGGCGGGCACCTGTAATCTCAGCTACTCAGGAGGCTGAGGCAAGACAATCACTTGAACCCAGGAGGCAGAGGTTGCAGTTAGCCGAGATTGTACTATTGCACTCCAGCCTGAGTAACAGAGCGAGACTCTGTCTCAAAAAAAAAAAAAAAAGCTTTGTCAAAAGATGTTTATGACTTTAGTGAAGTAACATACCTTTGTACTTTTTATTAAAGTAATATTACTATTACCCTTTCTTTTTTATTTTTTTTTAGAGACAGGGTTTCACCATGTTGGCCAAGCTGGTCTCGAACTCCTGGCCTTAAGTGATCCACCCACCTCGGCCTCCCAAAGTGCTGAGATTACAGGCGTGGACCACCACGCCCGGCCACTATTACTCTTATAAAGTGCATATCATCATGCCTTGTGCTCAAGCTCTTTTTTTGGAGACGGAATCTTGCTCGGTCACTAGGCTGGAGTGCAGTGGCGTGATCTCTGCTCACTGCAACCTCTAGCTCCCAGGTTCAAGCGATTTCCCTGCCACAGCCTCCCAAGTAGCTGGGACTACAAGTGTGCACCACCACGCCTGGCTAGTTTTTTTGTATTTTAGTAGAGACAAGTTTCACCATGTTGGCCAGGATGGTTTCGATCTCCTGACCTTGTGATCAGTCCACCTGGGCCTCCCAGAGTGCTTGGATTACAGGCATGAGCCATAGCGCCTGGCCTCAAGTTCATTTTTAACACATTTGTTTCCCCAACTTGTGGACAGAGCCTTGTCTTGTTGATGTTGTTTCTTCCCCTCAGCAACAAACATAACGCTCCAAAAGTGTCTCATGTGGAATTGTGCATTAACTTCTAGTTGTTTCATGTTTGTAAATCTTACCTTAACTGAAATCTGAGGAAGTTTAAAGGCAGGGACCCGTTGCCCACCTAAATATCATAAAACTGGACATGCATCTACTGGAGCTTAGGGAGAAGGTTGTACTTGATTAGAAAAGGTGTTCAAGTTATGCTTCTCCCTTGTAGGGATTTTCCAGATGACCCAGGCGTGCAGTGGGACACAGAGCATGTGGCCAGCGTCCTCCTCCAGCATATAGAAGTGAATGGCATCAATCTGGTAAGGGAACACCTTCCTGAATGGAAAGCCTGAGGTCTTGGTCCCATTCATACCAGCTAGTTTCCATAATTTTTCTTGTGGCCACCCTCCCACTTCCAGTCCTTCTCCAGGGCCACTCTCCAAGGAGGCCAGAACTTACAGTGCTCACTGTTAAACCTACTGAGGAACAAACATGCCTTTTGATATCTTTTTGATATTTTGTGAGACTAAATAACTAAATTATCAGTGCTCGGATAGAGGAGGGAGATTTTGCTAAGCTGTGTCCTCCTTAACACCCTCAAGCTCCCACGGTTGTCCTGCCACCTAAAAACTCAGGTCCCCCAGAGCCTCCCCAGTGATTCTCATTTATACAGAACTTCACCTGACCTTTTACCAAGCATTTTCACAGAATATCATTTTAACTTTGAAAGTAAGCCAGGCGCGGTAGCTCACACCTGTAATCCCAGCACTTTGGGAGGCCAAGGCGGGTGGATCAACTGAGGTCAGGAGTTCGAGACCAGCCTGACCTACATGGAGTACAAGAGTGTAACTCCATCTCAAAAAAAAAAAAGTAAAATTTGTGGCTGGGTGTGGTGGCTCACGCTTGTAATCCCAGCACCCTGGGAGGCTGAGATGAGTGGATCACCTGAAATCAGGAGTTCCAGACCAGCCTGGCCAGCATGGTGAAACTCCATCTCTATTAAAAATACAAAAATTAGGCCAGGCGCGGTGGCTCACGCCTGTAATCCCAGCACTTTGGGAGGCCGAGGCGGGTGGATCACAAGGTCAAGAGATCAAGACCATCCTGGTCAACATGGTGAAACCCCCGTCTCTACTAAAAATACAAAAAATTAGCTGGGCATGGTGGCGTGTGCCTGTAATCCCAGCTACTCAGGAGGCTGAGGCAGGAGAATTGCCTGAACCCAGGAGGCGAAGGTTGCGGTGAGCCAAGATCGCGCCATTGCACTCCAGCCTGGGTAACAAGAGCGAAACGCCGTCTCAATAAATAAATAAATAAATAAATTTGCCGGGCCCGGTGGCTCAAGCCTGTAATCCCAGCACTTTGGGAGGCCGAGGCGGGTGGATCACGAGGTCGAGAGATCAAGATCATCCTGGTCAACATGGTGAAACCCCGTCTCTACTAAAAGTGCAAAACATTAGCTGGGCATGGTGGCACGTGCCTGTAATCCCAGCTACTCAGGAAGCTGAGGCAGGAGAATTGCCTGAGCCCAGGAGGCGGAGGTTGCGGTGAGCCGAGATCGCGCCATTGCACTCCAGCCTGGGTAACAAGGGCGAAACTCCGTCTCAAAAATAAATAAATAAATAAATAAATAAATTTATTAATTTAAAAAATAATACAAAAATTAGCCAGGCCTGGTGGCGTATGACTGTATCCCAGCTACTTGGGAGGGGGGCAGGTGCAGTGCTGAGGCTCAAGAATCGCTTGAACTTGGGAAGCAGAGTTTGCAGTGAGTGCAGATCGTATTACTGCACTCTAGCATGGTGAAAGAGCAAGACGCTCTCTCAAAAAAAAAAAAAAAAGTAAAATTCTGAGTTTACATTGAAGAAATTGAGGTTTTGCAGAGACCAAGCAGCTTGTCCAAGGTAAGCAAGTGGTGGTAAAACTAGGATTTTAAGCCTTGATTTCTTCATTCCAAGAAAACATGAGAATGCATTCGTACCCACTAAGGAAGAAAATTTTAGATAAAATTGGAGTAGTAGCTGAGATATGTATTTACTGCAAAGGTGGACAAGCCTAGCAACACCAGTCTCAGTTCTTCTAGGATCAGCAGGATAGCTTAGCCCGTAGTCAATTTTAAAGCTGCCAAAGAGGTTTAAGAGATTCTTTTGGCTTGGCCTCCTGAGTAGCTGGGACTATAGATGCATCCCGTCATGCCTGGCTAATTTTTGTAGTTTTTTTTTTTTTTTTTTTTTTTTTTTTTTGAGACAGAGTTTCCCTCTTGTTACCCAGGCTGGAGTGCGATGGCGTGATCTCTGCTCACCGCAACCTCTGCCTCCTGGGTTCAGGCAATTCTCCTGTCTCAGCCTCCTAAGTAGCTGGGATTACAGGCACGCGCCACCGTGCCCAGCTAACTTTTTGTATTTTTTTAGTAGAGACGGGGTTTCACCTTGTTGACCAGGATGGTCTCGATTTCTTGACCTCGTGATCCACCCGCCTCGGCCTCCCAAAGTGCTGAGATTACAGGCTTGAGCCACCACGCCAGGCCCAATTTTTGTAGTTTTAGTAGCGATGGGGTTTCACCATGTTGGCCAGGATGGTCTTGATCTCCTGACCTTGTGATCCACCTGCCTTGACCTCCCACAGTGCTGGGATTACAGGCGTGAGCCACTGCACCCAGCTTCCATCTCTCTTTTTTAAATTTTATTTTATGTTTTTAAATAGTTTTTCATACACCGCCCCCCAGCCCGTAGCTATTTTTAAAAAATAAAATAAAATAAAATAAAATAAAATAAATTTTAAAAAGAAAAATGCAAAGCTGCCATCCTTGGAAAGCAGGCCAGGTGGGTAGTAGTGTCTTCTCTGGGTGTCAAGCAGGCTAGGTCCTGGGCCTCAACCCCCCTACCTCAATTTTCATTCAATAAATATTTACTGAGTACCCAATATGGGACATTCACTATAGGTGGTGAACTGGAAATACAAGAGTAAGCCAGAAGCACTTAGTCCTTGCTCCTGTAGAGCAGGATGTGTCGGCGGGGCACTATTGCACATTTGGGACTGGATAATTTGGTGTGGGGGTTGGCCTTGTGCATGGAAGGATGTTTAGCAGCATCTCTGGCTTCTACCCACTAGACAGCAGCAATCCCCTGCTTCGATCGTCACAATAAAACCGTCTCCAGGCCACACACAGTGGCTCACAACTGTAATTCCAACACTTTGGGAGGCTCAGGCAGTAGGTGGATTGCTTGAGACCAGCCTGGGCAACACAGTGAGACCCTGCCTCTACAAAAAAAATGTTTAAATTAGCTAGGTGTGGTAGCATGTACTTACAGTCCCAGGTACTCAGGAGTCTGAGGTGTGAGAATCAACTTGAGCCTGGGAGGTTGAGGCTGCAGTGAGTGTGATGGCGTCACTGCACTCCAGCCTAGGTGACAGAATGAGACCCTGTCTCAAAAAAAAAAAAAAAAAGAGAGAGAGAGAGAGAGAGAGAGAAAAAACCCTCCAGTAGTTACCAAATAACCTTGGGGCAAAACTATCTCTAGGTAAGAACCAGTATCTTAGAAACCAGAGCAGCTCCATGGTTACCTCTTATTTATTGGGGTCTGGGTAAGATTTTATTTGAACAAATATATTTGCAAGTTAGGAAAAAATAAAAGTGGATAGAGTTTTGTAAAGAATGACAGGTGCCACTGTCATGTACAAATCTGCAAAGTTCAGAGAGCTAAATACAGTTCGGCTCAGCCCTGCTTGCAACAGAAAGGGGAGGACGAGACCCCCATCGTGCTACAAATACAGTTGCTACAAATACAACACTGTAAGTTGTAGGATGAGAGAAAAACCATACTGGAGAATTTCAAAAGTGATTAAGCTTAACTTTATGTGACCCCAAATTCCCTAGCCAAGGGACTGCCCTCCAGCACCCTTCTAATACTCATCCAGCAAGAGTGCTAGCCAGCTTCATCCGATGGCAAGAGACTTGGAGTTGAGATGCACTAGCATTTACTGCTGTACAGTTTTCGTTTTTGTAGCAAGATGGGGGTCTCGCTCTTGTTGCCTAGGCTGGAGTCGCTCTTGTTGCTTACCTTGGGTGACAGAACAAGACTCTGTCACAGAGAGAGAGAGAGAGAGAGAGAGACAGAGAGAGAGAATTATAAACCTTAGTCATTAGAAGACTTTAGTTGAATTATGGAATTCTGTTGTTAAAATTCTTCCATTACCCCCAACTTCCGCTGACTTTGTCAACATGGTAATAAATTGAGGCTCATGGTGGTAACTCTAAAGTTACAGGATCCTGAAATGTCTTCTGAATTTTTTTTTTTTAAATGGGGTTTCACCATGTTGGTCAGGCTGGTCTTGAAATGCCAACCTCAGGTGATCCGCTGCCTTGGCCTCCAAAGTGCTTGGATTATAGGCGTGAGCCACCACGCCCGGCCTCTGAATTTTTTTTTGAGACAGAGTCTCACTCTATCGCCCAAGCTTGAATACAGTGGTGCTATCTCTGCTCACTGCAACCTCTGCCTCCTGAGTTCAAGTGATTCTCCTGCCTCAGCCTCCTGAGTAGCTGGGATTACAGGTGCATGCTACCATGCCTGGCTAATTTTTGTATTTTTAGTAGAGACAGAGTTTTACCATGTTGACCAGGCTGGTCTTGAACTCTTGACCTCGTGATCCACCCGCCTCGGCCTCCCAAAGTGCTGGGATTACAGGCTTGAGCCACCGCGCCCGGCCTCCTTGTTGTCTTTTTAATGTTTATTTCATTATTCAGTTAGCCTTTTTATTATTATTCAAATTATTCGTTTTTTCTTTGTGTAGAAATGAAATGTTGGAATACAGACTGAGCTTGTAGTTAGTAAATAGATGTTGATATATCTGTGAAAATGGAAGCAGAGGCAGTCTATGAATAAATACACTTTTTCCGTGAACTCAATCCCATGACAAGGTGGACATTGTCCCTCAAAGCTTTTTTTGCCCTCAGTATGGCATGAGAAAAAGAACCAATAAATCAGACTGCATCTGCATGGACAGAGTTCACTTAGAAGCTAGCCGGGAATGCTAAATGTTTTCATTAATGGTTAAACCGATAAGCAACAAAGATATTCTGAACCCAAGTTGCTATCATGGCCGAATTCCACTCTGCTCCACTGGCTAGGAACAAGAGTAAAGCGTCAGACCCAGAGAAACAGTCTCTACATGGTCAACCATAGCACTAGCTGCACACCACTGATCTGCTCAGAAGTCACTTCAGATACAGGCTGCGTTTGAAAAGATTCAGCGTGCCGGGCGCGGTGGCTCACGCCTGTAATCCCAGCACTTTGGGAAGCTGAGGCGGGTGGATCACGAGGTCAAGAGATCGAGACCATCCTGACCAACGTGGTGAAACCCCGTCTCTACTAAAAATACAAAAAAATTAGCTGGGTGTGGTGGCACACGCCTGTAGTCCCAGCTACTCGGGAGGCTGAGGCAGGAGAATTGCTTGAACCCAGGAGGTGGAGGTTGCAGTGAGCCGAGGTCACGCCACTGCACTCCAGCCTGGCACCCAGTGACGGAGTCAGACTCTGTCTCAAAAAAAGAAAAAAAAAAAAAAAGAAAAGATTCAGGGTTTTGTTCTCTCCTCTACTTCTCTCCTTCCCTTGGGAAGTTGAGATGGTTGAGAAGGCATTGAAGTTGAGCCCTATTGAAGTTGAGATGGTTGAGAAGGCATTCAGACAGTCATAACCGAAAACCCCATGTTTCTCTACAGGTGGTGACTTTCGATGCAGGGGGAGTAAGTGGCCACAGCAATCACATTGCGTTGTATGCAGCCGTGAGGTATGATTTTCAGGGTGATGGAGGTGGGGGAGGGTTTGTTCATTTGATTAGGGCTTATGGTTTAAAGTCTAAAGTACTTTCCTACTTTTTATCTAGCCCATGAAACTCACTGCTGGCTTATCATCAAGCCCTTTTTGGCCATGTTGCTGACTGCATCTTACCACGTCCTCTCTCTGAGAAATCTCTCTCAAATCCTAGTGCAAATGCTTATCTCCTAAACAGCTGAATTGTTTTTTACACACTGAATACTGCAAATGGGGTAGCTGACTTTATCTGTCTCTTCTCTGTGGCCACAGGAAGCTTGAGGGTCAAATTTGCCACCCCTGTGGCATATGGACGAGACTTTAAGGAATGAGTGCTGTGACTCAGTGTGCCTCCGGCTTCACCATCTTCTTCTTCCCTTACTCTCACTTCCTTCACGTATTTTATACAATTCTCAAATCTTTCTTTGGAGAAGGAGGATATACATATATAATATGAAATGTGTTTGTTCTTCACAGTCACCCTATTTTACTGATACGTATTTACATTTTACCAATAAAAATAAAATGTGGCCAGCCACAGTGGCTCACGCCTATAATCCCAGCACTTGGGGAAGCCAAGGTGGGAGGATTATCTCAGGTCAGAAGTTCAAGACCAGCCGGACCAACGTGGAGAAGCCCCATCTCTACTAAAAATACAAAATTAGGCTGGGTGCAGTGGCTCACGCCTATAATCCCAGCACTTCAGGAGGCCGAGGTGGGTGGATCTTCTGAGGTCAGGAGTTTGAGACCAGCCTGATCAACGTGGAGAAACCCCGTCTCTACTAAAATATAAAATTAGCCAGGCGTGGTGGCGATGCCTGTAATCCCAGCTACCCGGGAGACTGAGGCAGGAGATCCCTTGAACTCAGGAGATGGAGGTTGCAGTGAGCCAAGATTGCACCATTGCACTCCAGCCTGGGCAACAAGAGTGAAACTCCGTCTCAAAAAACAAACAAACAAAATTAGCCAGGCGTGGTGGTGCATGCCTGTAATCGCAGCTACTCAGGAGGCTGAGGCAGGAGAATCACTTGAACCTGGGAGGTGGAGGTTACAGTGAGCTGAGATTGTGCCATTACACTCCAGCCTGGGCAACAAGAGCAAAACTCTGTCTCAAAATAATAATAATAATAATAAAATAAAAAATAAAAATAAAATGCAAACTCAAACGTATTGAATGAGGTAGAGTCACACAAACATAGATGTGTTTCCTGTCCCTAGCAAAGTGCTTCTCCCGAGTCCCTGATCAGTGGTGTGGCAGGCCTGTCTCAGCTCCTGAGGAAGGAGAGGAAGAACTTGAAGGGAAGGACGTATTTGAAAACCTTCTAAACTTGCTCAGCACTCAGACTGAGGCAATGCAATACGTCAGGTTGGAAATAACCTCGCCAACCGTTAAGTCCAACCACCTCATTTTCCTGAGGCTGTGAAGTGGTTTGCCCAGCCCTGCAAGGTGAAACTATGGTAGAGGCAGAATTCAGGAATCCTGGTTCTCCATTCATTATTCTGCCAGATGCATGTGAAGACCAATCCCAGCTGAAGAGTAGCCTCCTTGTCCGTATATTTTACATCACTTGGTGGAAGATGCTAGAATTTTACCAACATCCTCTTTCTAGGCTGCTTTCCTGTTTCCTTGACTATGGAATGAAGGGACTAGACTGCTCTCCCTGTAAAGACTATTCAGTTCCTGGTCCAGCCAGCAGCCACAGCTTTAGGGGAGACATGTTGCTAGTTGCATTAGGTCCCTTCAGATTCAAGAAAGAAACATCTCCTAATTACAGTCTGAAATAAAAATGTTTTTTGATAATATATGGAAAAATGATGCAGCCCTAGAGTGGTCTTTCCAACCACATGATTACTCTGAGGCCTTGAACTTCCAAGACTAGCATGGAGAGCAAGCCCCATGGAGAACTGGAAAATGGTCCCACCTCATTCTGGATGCACACTGAGCCTGGTGATTTCTCACCAAGAATTTACACTACACCAGAGAAAGGATCAGGTCAGGTCTGTTGCAAAGAAACTAAGAATACCTCAACAGACAGGGTGCTGGGCACTTGAGGTTGAGTAGCTGGTCCCATTCCTGGTCCAGTCACCACTGAAGTGGGGAAAGCAGAGAAGGTGTCATTCTGGGCACAGAACCCAAGGGAAAAACTCTGTGTAGATAGAACTGCCTGGGGCCATTTTTCTCAGAAGAGGCTGGCGTGCCACAGGCTCTCAGAACGAAGGTGGGTCACTATGCTTCAAATAAAACAATTCATGGGCATGCCACCAATCTACTAAGACCTTTTTCTCCACAGTCATCTCCTGTCTGCTAAATTCACTAGACTCACCTTAGTCCTCAACCATCTTGACTTTTCTGTGGCATTTGGCCCTGCCTGTCCCTCACAGAAATACTACTTTTACTTATATGGCACCAGCTTGCCCTCCCTACTCTGGCCTTTCTGGCTACTTCTGTCTCTTCCTGGCTTCCCTCCCCCCAGTGGCTCCTTGGTCCCCCTGTCCCCAGGGCTTGCTCCCCAGCCCTCCTCAGCACAGCTTCCTCTGTGGCTTGAAGGGCTGTAAGCTCTATTTTCAGACAGGTGCCTCCAGTGCTCACTGCTTTCCCTGGATATCAGAATATCCACAGGGCTTTGCCCAGAGTACAGGACCAGCCACCTCATTCTCAGAATCCCAGAAAGCTTTTTCAGGTTTTTCTACCTCTCAGGCTCTGCCAGGCAGTCAGTCCCATGAGTTTGTCAATTCCCTCTCAACTTCTCTTCTTTAACCCCTGCTCCCAAGAGTCCTTGTTCATGTGCGATGTGTGTCTGTGTGCTACCTTCCCAATCCTTCTCTGCCCCAGCTTTCTAAACAACAAAGTGGGAAAAAGAGCTGGTGCTCTTTGCAGTTAATACTCCCCTGCTCTTAAGATGGTGAGCACAGAATGCCCTTCACTGTCAGAAGGTAGGTATGTTAGAAAGCAGAAAGGAAGTATCAGGGAAGAGATCTCAGTCAGCATTGTAAAATATTCCCCCACCATACTCACATTACAATTTCAAAAGAAAAACGATGAAGAGAGCAGCAGTTACCTCCATTCTCTAATGGGCAAAACTTGGACCATGGCACTTCACAAGCCACAGACCAGCCTCTGGATTGGCTGTCCTTGGCTAAAGTGCCCATCCTGGTTCCTTCACCTGTTGCCAGAGGTATGGGATCCTCGAAATGTATACGGTGATTTGCGCAAAAGAATCCACCTGAAACTCACATGGAGGGGACCATGGATATGGCAGGCTTTCCTCTGAAGGCCCTTCCTGTTACCTACAAAGGAAATGATTCTTGCTCCTCTCACTCTTGTCCTTTCCCTCCTCCAGGGCCCTGTACTCAGAAGGAAAGTTACCTAAAGGTAAGGCTTGTCCCTTTTGCAAAGGGCCACAATATACTGTCCCTCTGAGAAACTTATGGGAGGGAAATTTCCAAATCCACAGAGATCTGCCCTAGGCTGAGCAGAGGCAGGTGTGGAGGAGGCCATCACACTCTCTCTGTCTAAGCTCAGGGTACTTGGCAGGCTGTATCTACCAGTAAGTGCCTGCCTGCAGGACCACCTCTGGATGAGTGGGAGGCCAGGTTTGCCCTGTACCTGTATAGCTTTTTCACACCTCTGGTATTCTTCCATTCTGAACTCAATCTCGTTCCCCAAACAGTTAGCCAGGTTGTAAATGACTGCTATGCTTGATGGACCAATCTGCCTGAGTTAGGAACTCTTCCACACCTGACCATTTACTGCATGACCCCTGTGCTTAGGCCAGTTTCTGGTCTGTCATACTTCACAGGAGCGATATGAAGATTCAGTGAATGAAAATAGAGATAGTTCATGCCCTTTCTGTGTGGAATGACTGAAGGGAGCTTAACAAGCCACGAAGTCTTTGGAATATGACTATAGTTTGTTTGATTCTTATATCAGTCCTGTGAGACAGGCAGGTCTCACACTGTGAACACCATTTTACAGATCAGAAAACAGACTCAGAGTGGTTAAGAAACCGCCAAGTCTGCCAGTTCTTGACTGATAGAGCTGAAACCAGGTCTCTAGCCTCCCGATACAGTAATTCCTGTCACTTTCACCTCTCCTTTGGCTTTGAGGTAGCCAAATCTTAACCTCTAGCAACCAACCTTTTTTTGGTAGGGCACGTGGCAGGGGTAGAGGTAGCCAGCCAGGTCTTCTGTGGCCCTTTTACTCCTTCTAGCTGCAAGAATCACAGGCAAAGAGCAGCTTTGGTGCCACAGAAACACCTGACAACACTGTGGCCACTGTCTTGCCCTGGCCTGAGCCACAGGGTAGAGGGAGGGCGCTCAGGGTAAAGTCTGGCTGGAGGCCTAAGGCGCTTCACTTCTCTCTGTCTCCTCCCCAACCAGGGTGTTCAGTGCTCACGCTTCAGTCTGTGAATGTGCTGCGCAAGTACATCTCCCTCCTGGATCTGCCCTTGTCCCTGCTTCATACGCAGGGTGTCCTCTTCGTGCTCAACAGCAAAGAAGTGGCACAGGCCAAGGTGAGGACTGTAAATTCCTGGACACCCCAACTCAGATCTCTGCCCCAGACCCCCTATCTCCTCAAAACCCCACCTCTGCAGAAGCCCTAACCGAAGGCCTTCCACAGTGGTTCAGCATCTGTCCCTGAGAGTTGGGGCTAGGCCAGCTAGATCTTGGGAAGCATAGATTTTTCCAATGACTTTAGCCTTTTTTCTAATTATAACAATAATATATGCTTTTTCTAAAAGTAAATAACACATGCTCATTGTAGAAAATCTTGAAAAACATAAAAGCATCAAAAAGAAAATAAAAATAAGAACAATTACCTGCAGTCCCACCAGTTGGAGGTAATCCTTATTAACATGTTGGGCTACTCTTTTTTATTTATGTATTTTTTGAGACGGAGTTTTGCTCTTGTTGCCCAGGCTGAGGCGCAGTGGTGCAATCTCCGCTCACTGCAACCTCCACCTCCCAGGTTCAAGCAATTCTCCTGCCTCAGCCTTCTGAGTAGCTGGGATTATAGGTGCCTGCCACTACGCCCGCCTGGCTAATTTTTTGTATTTTTAGTACAGGTGGGGTTTCACCATGTTGGCCAGGCTGGTCTCAAACTCCTGACCTCAGATGATCCACCCACCTTGGCCTCCCAAAGTACAGGGATTACAGGTGTGAGCCACAGCATGCAGCCCTACTCATGTGTGTATATATAGTGTATGTGTATACACATTTCAAATGGGATTACACAGTGCCTATTTAAAACCTACTTTGGCCTGGCACGGTGACTCACGCCTATAATCCCAGCACTTTGGGAGGCTGAGGCAGGTGGACCACGAGGTCAGAAGTTCGAGAGCAGTCTGGCCAATATGGTGAAACCCCGTCTCTACTAAAAATACAAAAATTAGCTGGGTATGGTGGCACACGCCTATAGTCCCACCTACTCGGGAGCCTGAGGCAGAAGATCTCTGCCCTGCAAGGCTTTCCTACCTCGAAAGCTCCTATCTGCAAAGACCCTCCCGAGTCTTGTGAGCAGAGGTTGCATTCCTTCCCAGATTTCTTGCACAAGCCCTCTTTACAAGACCCTCATGCAGACCCTATGTTGGGAAGAGATCGTGGATCAAAGCAGTCTTTCCTGCGTTGCAACCACACAGCTGTGTTCCAGGGTTTAAAAGGGCTCTCAGATGGCCTTTACTATACACTTCCTGGTTACCGCTTGATTTCTGTTTTTACGGGCCTTAAACAATTTCTATTTTACTGCACCATTGTTTAGAGTTTTCTTAACTCAATATTTGATCCGTTGCATGAATCTTAGTGTATAAAAAGCAAAGCAAGTTTGTAATCATTTAACTAGAAATAACATAGGTCTGCCCCTGGTCATCTTGGCCCACAAGACCCTGTCAAAAAAAAAAAAAAAAAAAAAGGCCAGGTACAATGGCTCACGCCTGTAATTCCAGCATTTTGGGAGGCTGAAGTGGGTGAATCATGAGTGAAACCTCATCTCTACTAAAAATACAAAGATTAGCCAGGCATGGTGCACACACCTGTAATCCCAGCTACTCAGGAGAGGAAGCTGAGGCGAGAGAATCACTTGAACCAAGGAGGTGGAGTTTGTGATGAGCTGAGATCGCACCACTGTACTCCAGCCTGGGCAACAGAGCGAGACTTTGTCTCAAAACAAAAAACAAAAAATCCTGCTTTAACAGTATGTTATGGGCTGGGCACAGTGGCGCATGCCTGTAATCCCAGTACTTTTGGAGGCTGGGGTGGATGGATTGTTTGCTGGGCAACAGAGCAAAATCTCATCTCTACAAAAAAATTGGCCAGGCATGGTGGCACATGGCTGTGGTTCCAGCTGTTCAGGAAGCTGAGGCAGAAGGATCACTTGAGCCCAGGAACTCAAGGTTGCAATGGCCTGATCATTGTACTCCAGCCTGGGCAACAGAGCCAGACCCTGGCCAAATTTAAAAAAAAAAAAAAAATCGGCCGGGCGCGGTGGCTCAAGCCTGTAATCCCAGCACTTTGGGAGGCCGAGGCGGGTGGATCACGAGGTCAAGAGATCGAGACCCTCCTGGTCAACATGGTGAAACCCCGTCTCTACTAAAAATACAAAAAAATTAGCTGGGTGTGGTGGCGCATGCCTGTAATCCCAGCTACTCAGGAGGCTGAGGCAGGAGAATCGCCTGAACCCAGGAGGCAGAGGCTGCGGTGAGCCGAGATCGTGCCATTGCACTCCAGCCTGGGTAACAAGAGCGAAACTCCGTCTCAAAAAAAAAAAAAAAAATCAAAACTTTATTATGAACATTTTCTCCTATTTAGTTCAGTATTCAAATAGCAATGGCTGCCTGTTACTCCATTGTATGTATGCACCATAAGATATATCACGAATCCCTTACTGTTGGACATTTGCATTTACCACTTTTTCACTGTTACACATTGAGCGATGTTCCCAGATTGAGTTTAAGAGGAATTCAGACCGGCCGGGGGCCTTTGTAAAGAGCCTAGGGACAGACTGCAAGAAGCCTACATGCGCCATTGAGGAAGAGCTAGGCCAGGTCAGGTCATCCTCTCGAAAACTCTTCACCGTCCATGGAGCAGGTGACGGAGTGCCATCAGAGTTTGGGAGAAGGGGGGCTGAAGAGAATTGTTCCCCAGTTTGTCTCCAGGTACAACCCCTGTAGTCTTAAGTTCTTCACAGAGAAAAGAGTAGCGCAATGAGTGAAAGAACCAAGCTGGGGACTGTGGCTCGTGCCTGTAGTAGTCTCAGCTGCTTGGGAGGTTGAGGTGGGAAGATGGCTTGAGCCCAGTAGTTTGTATCTGGCCTGGGCAACACAGCTCTATTAAGGAAAGGAAAGAAAGGAAAAGGAAAGAAGGAAGGGAGGGAGAAAGAGAGAGAGGAGAGAGAGAGAGAGAGAAAAGGAAGGGAGGGAGGGAAGGGAAGGCAAGAAAAAGAAATGGAGGGAGAGAAAGAAAAGAAAGAGAAGGAAGGAAAGAAGGAAAAAGGAAAAAAATCTCTAAGAGAACCATTTTGTTAGAAACTCAGGATAATGATTTTGGTTTGGGGTTTTTTTGGTTTAGCTTTATTTTCTAAATTTTCTTTGAGACAGAGTCTCCTTCTGTCACCCAGGCTGGAGTGTGGTGGCACAATCTCGGCTCACTGCAACCTCCGCCTCCCAGGTTCAAGCAATTCTCATGTCTCAGCCTCCCCAGTAGCTGGGACTACAGGTGCACACCACCACCCCTGGCTAAGTTTTGTATTTTTAATACAGATGTGGTTTCACCATATTGGTCCGTCTGATCTCAAACTCCTGACCTCTGGTGATCTACCCACCTCAGCCTCCCAAAGTGCTGGGATTACAGGTATGAGCCACTGTGCCCAGCCCTTTTTTTTTTTTTTTTTTGGACATAGTTTCGCTCTTGTTGCCCAGGCTGGAGTGCAATGGTGCAATATTGGCTCACTGCAACCTCTACCTCCTGGGTTCAAGTGATTCTCCAGCCTCAGCCTCCTGAGTAGCTGGGATTACAGGCATGTGGCACCACACCTGGCTATTTTTGTATTTTTAGTAGAGATGGAGTTTTTCCCTATTGGTCAGGCTAGGGTCTCGAGCTCCCAACCTCAGCTGATCCACCTGCCTTGGCCTCCCAAAGTGCTGGGATTACAGGCGTAAGCCACCACACCTGGCCTATTTATTTATTTATTTTTGAGGCAGAGTCTCACTCTGTCACCCAGGCTGCAATGCAGTGGAGTGGTCTCAGCTCACCACAACCTCCGCCTCCTGGGTCCAAGAGATTCTCCTGTCTCAGCCTCCTAAGTAGTTGGGACAACAGGCACCCGACTGAACTTGGCTAATTTTTGTGTTTTTAGTAGAGACTGGGTTTCGCCATGTTTGTCAGGCTGGTCTCGAACTTCTGACCTCAAGTGATCCACCTGCCTTCGCCTCCCAAAATGCTGGGATTATAGGCATGAGCCACCATACCCGGCCTGTTTCTTCTCTTTAACTTGAAAGTTTAGCTTTGTTTTCATTTTCAGTCTTTAAAAAACAAATACTTTAATACTATTAATTTTCCATGAAGTGTTTCTTTAACTACACATGACAAGTTCTACTGTCATTTAATTTAAGTAATCTATAGTTTCTATTGTGAGTTCTGCCTTATTCTTTGAGGGTATAATTTAAAGTTCACAGATGTGTGTGTCCATCTTCATTACTCGTAGTTCTGTATTTGTGAATGTACCTACCTACTCACTAAAATTCATTTGCAACTCCAACGTCAGTGCTTGAAGTGCTTTTGTGGTCATTTGTGGACACTTGCAGAGCGGAGAACCATGTGAGTCACCGGATGTACATTTGCATGTTCCCAACTGTTTCAGCGCTCCTACTGTAGAAAAATACTTTTCCGTGGTATATATAATGTCCCATTTTTCTCATTTTTGTGGGTTTTGTTGATTTTGCTGTTCAAAATAGCCTCTAAGCATGATGCTGAAGTGCTGTCTTGCATTCCTAAGCACAAGAGGCTGCAATATGCCTTATTTTGATCAGCTTCATTCAAGCATGAGTTACAGTACAGTGCCATTGGCCATGAGTTCAGTGCTAATGATCAACAATATATATATTTCATTTGGAGGTTTTTAAACAGAAATACACACAAAACAAGGTTATATATTGATCGGCTGATGAGAATATTGTGTCCAGAGGCTTTGAGGAACCCAACCCTGTACTTCCACTAGAAGCAATGGTTCAGTATTCACTCATTCAGCATTCTCAGTGACTTTATAGAACATAACTACCACAAATGAGAATGGCATGGCTGTGTGTATGTATGTGGTCTGTTTGTCCTTGATTTATAATTTAATTGCTTTGTGGTCAGTGACTGGGTTTTGTGGCACTGATTTTTTTTTTTTTTTTTTTTCTGAGATGGAGTCACGCCCAGGCTGGCATGCAGTGATGAGATCTCAGCTTACTGCAACTTCTGCCTCCTGGGTTCAAGCGATTCTCCTGCCTCAGCCTTCTGAGTAGCTGGGATTACAGAC